CCATGTAATGCATTTATTCTAATAGTGATCTTAGTCAGAATGATTGAACATTCCTCTTCTTAAACTGTAGGCACAACAAATGATTATAGGAAAATATATAACGATTATGTAGCTACACATTTGGCACAGTTTAGTTAGGAATCTAGTTACAACCAGCAGTGCTTTTTAGAATATATATAATTCAACAAAATTCTGTCCTACTAACCTCTTTCGTAAAAGGAATTGAAGCTAACAACCTTTCTCCTATAAGGAGTTGAAGTTCTTTTACAATTTTAGAAGTAATACTGCAATTTGTTGTTATATTTGAAATATTACTTTTACAGGAATAGCCTATCTCACATCCTCAGCAGCAGTTCACTATTTTATATGTACCAGTCTTCCATCAACTTCATATATCAAGTTGACAAATCCTGTTTATTAAGCTATTCACACAAAAAATAGTTCACTAGTTCTGAATATATAAGATAATTAATCCGATATGTATCCATTTAAGTATAGTTCCAATTATTTATTCCAATATAACTATCAACTGAATATGTATGCTATCATAAATATAAATGATTGAAATGCAACACGTTTTCTGTATCTCTAAGTTTTTTATCCTTATTATAAACTAAGTACATTTTAAATATAGAGAGGGTATGAAATGTCTTTTATCTCAATATGAAAAGATGATGTTATTTCTTAAGTTGCATTTGTTTTTTCTCTACCTACTTCATCCCCTGAAATAGTATCTCAGGAATCTAAAAATCAATTTATATCAAATTCTGACATCAGAGTTTCTTCCTACAATGGATAAATACAATGATGTCATAAGCAGTATACCTAATATAGAAACACAATTTACTATGAATTGATACAATTCCATCACAACAACAGACAAGTACATCTAATGATGCAAGTTAATTGAGTAAAAGATACTACAGACATAGCAATACGACTAAATCTTAAAAATAATCTGTGATGATACAATGATTAAATGCTCCACAAATACATGTGTCAATGCTATATGATGAGAAAAAATGTTTCTAGTCTTGGGCCACAAATGACCTTCATGCATTAAAATAAGACACGTACATGATGAAATTGTTCATTCGTCATCACTCATAGCCTTACTATGACTACTTGTGCTTTCAAATTATGCCCCAGTCTTAATAAACAGTTATACTAACTACAGTTACATTTACTAGACTTAACTAACTAGAACTACATCTAAACTGGCTGCAAGCAAGTACAAGCAGGTGGAAGCAAGTGGTAGCTGTTTTTTTATGACCCTGTATATATACATTTTTAATTAATAAATGGAATAAATTTTATCTTCACCATTTATTTCATGTTGTCATTGAGTAAACATTTAAACTGCAAAGTTCTAGTGAGAAAACTGAGTCATTAACTCACATTGGTCTGTTTTTACTGCTACCCACCAGTGCAAACACATCTGCACTTGCTTCAGCCAACTCACACCAGCCTGCTGCCAGTGTAGACAAAGTTGAAGTCAGAGTTGTTTTACACATTTACTAACAAATTCACCTGAATTATGAAGTCCCAGTTCCTTTCCTCCTGAGAGTGTGGGCCCACTGCTAAAATACATCAGTAAGGCAAAAATGTCATCTAAAGAAGTCTACACATTTTCCTACATACAAAGGAGAGGCACTGAATTCCTCAAGAATATTTCTGGAAACCTATCAGCTTATATTCAGATGATGCACACAATATTCAAAAGTTTGTTTATATATTACATATTCAACATGGAGGCAATGAGTATAACAAAGCCTGCATAGTATTCTTTGCACCAATGTTTTGATGTTTATCCAGAATGACTTTGAAAAATCTGTCATTTAAAGAAGCACCAAAGTTAGTCACTCTTCAGAGCAGTATAAAGGCATAGACAAAGTCATTATGGGCACATGTAAAGTCACAGTTGGAATTACAATTAAGTACATGCACATATTATCAATGTATCTGCAAACATTCACTAATCTTTACTTACAGCATCACCTTTATCTTAATTTGGCATAAGATAGCTGTTCTGTGAAATATCCCTTGCATTGTATGAATTAAGTACACCTTAATATGCTCCATTATCTAGGAAGATTCTGTTTAATATTCAGTTTAAGTTAAAGAGGCTTGATACTTTTTACATTGTCTAAGAAATTACATCACAAATAACCTGATTTCTATAAAATGTAAGTAAATTAACGATTGTGTTTTCTCTTAAAATTTTGCTGCTTATATCAATGATAATGTTATTACAGCAGCACTATATGAAATAGAACTAAAGCTGATAATTTTAATTGTCAAATACAGTATCTAAATTTACAACCATTCAAAATAATTTCCATGCATACATATTACATGATATCACAATGAAAATGCATGAAAAATAATGAAAATGAAATATCAAATTCCAGAGAAATGCCAACATACCATCATAAAAACCAACATACAAATACAAAACAAATATCAGCAATAAAAACTAATCCATGTAGCATACCTATTAGCATTGTAAAGAATTTAATATTACAAAACATTCCATCTTATTCTGCAATGAACGTTTCAAAGCTTTTTTACTGTGTTCTTTCTAATCCCTTCAACCACTACTGTAATATAACACCTAGGTCCAAGTGTTTGATATTTAATGAATATATCCTAAGCAACTTACATTACATAACAGCTACACAGAAAAATATCTTTAAAAAATCATGCTAAACATTCTGACACAAGCAATGATACTTTTTAAAATATAGTTGTTAACATTACAAAACTGTTGGTATTCTTGAATTTCCAAATACTTTTGGGTATGTATGGCTTATGTGAATATTGCAAGGCATATTCCATTCCTTACAGGAATAAAATCATCTTCTTACAAAGAATCCATATGAATTCCGGAACGACTATTCGAGACATGTATCTGAACGAAACAAATTTGAAAACCAAAATGCCAACATTCTTGTATCATAAGGTTCCGTTCATTATTGAATGTTTTGACACCCCTCTTAACATTAGTTTTCTGTGCGGTTGTACAGTCCCCTCCACTTTGAACTTCACCACCAGTTTCCAAACACTTGGCCCCTACACTTATTGGCATTTGTTTGAGATACAAAAGTCAAAACTGGCAGTTCAGACTTTGGCAATGCCAAGTGGTAATCTTAGAAGTGAGAGGAACTGTACATATGCCAAACAGATTTTCCTGATTTTACTCATTCCAAAGCCTACTTTCTAAATTGCAGATACATCTATCATTAATACCCATTCTGAAAATAATGGGTAATTATCTACATAACTGAATTTTCATATGATAAATGATGGCCTGAGATGTATTAGAGAAATGAATAAATAAGAATCATTGTCTGCATTTACGCAAATAAATTTTGTAAATAGTAAACAAGGTCTTCCTCCACTACATATTCTTTCTTCAATATTTTTTCTCTATCTCCTAAATCTTCCTCTTTCTTGTTGGTCTCTATTACCATTTATGCAATCTTACTTTTATTGCTTTTTCCCCTTTTTTCTTTTTCATTCAAGAAATAATTCCTAGTTTAACAATTCTGCCTTCATTACAGTCAAAGGTTTAAGGAGGTTGGGGGTCACTACAGTCTTCATCCACAAAAGTAAACTGTTACTATGGACGGATATCAACCCATATCTATGTGTTTATTGTACTAACTGATGGATGCGGTTAGTAAGACTTGGCTGGCAGCAGTAATTACTTAATCCCTTTTCCCATTCTAATCATCTGTCAGACATTACCATTTAAAAGTAGTCTTTTTACAGCAAAATCTGGACCTGAAAAAAAGTTTTTTCTCTCTCTCAAAATCTTTTGCATAATAATACATGAACTACTGTACATCTTTTGTACTTAATACCAGTATATCTAATCATCTTCTATGGTAAAATTAGCGGGTTTGCTCAGTGTAATCTACTGGCAATGGATGACATGTTTCCACATTAAGACAAATAATGAGCCATACAACTGCCTAGGCACAGAGCACTAATGTACATAAGTACATCTGACCTCCCAAGACGAACTAAAAATTTACTATTATGCTAAACACCAGTAACATTCACATTCACATTTCTAATTAATGCGTCAATCAAAATGAGAGTGAACTTCAAATATTCACATCATAAAATATCCATCAACAAACAAGAGCATTTTCAAGGTCCTAAAAGATAACAACATCAATTTAACTAAGTGCAACACAAAGATTAACAAAAAATCTGTAAATTTATCAAAGATAACACTCAACATCAATTTCTCAAATAATCTTTTATTTGAGTCAAACCTAATTTTCTATAAATAGAACCTTTTTAGAATACACGAAAAGATCTAAATCTAAAATATAGATGCAGACATCTACTTATAAACACAAGTAAATTATAAGGCATTGTCTTCAACTAAAGATGATTTGCATTGATTATTAAGTACAGACTGATGAAATAAATTGAGGCATTTACAAAGACCAGCCCTTAAGCTTTATCATTGCAAATAACTTAATGCTGCCATATTATCTATACATAACATTAAAGTCATTTAGTTTCTATCGTTGTTCAGGTTTAATTTTGATAATATTGTAGATGCAATCATATTCGATACTACTGAACTACTGAAGATAATGATCCGTTTGTCCACAATACAAATGAAAATTCAACATCAACAGAAAACACTCATATATTGATATATCAATTCTCATAAGAAAAAAATAAACTTCAACACATACTTAATAGAAAATCAATTCAATATGAAATCAATCTAAACTATGATAAAATCTAGAAAAACAATAAAATCTATCAATTGCTCAGTTTCTCAAGCAACCACTTTACACTTCATAATCAACTTCTCTACCACAAATATTTTGCAATATCAGGCTGCACGGGAGCTTCTTCTTGGTCGTCACGATCACGGAAGTGGAGTAGTGCCACAAGGAGGGTGTGGAGGCGTTGGTTCTGCGACTTGAGCTCTCGCACATCATTCATCATCTGTGTCAGGTCACGACGCATGATCTCGTGTTCGTTCATCTGGAGGGAAGGTATGAATTTTAAATTTCTTATCATGGTTCAATTAAGTAGGTATGTACTTGTGTTTTTTATTTCATCTTTGACTTTTCATTCAGTCATACAAGTCATAATGTTCTGAATTTTTTGGTATGATGTAGACTGCTTAGCTTTAGAACTGAATATATTTTACTATCCAATTATAATTTTCAAAAAGTAAATAGAAACAATTATCTTTTGTAACCTAATAACACTTTCATCAATGAAATGATCGAAACAAGAAAACAGAATAATCTTTAATGCAATAATGTTCATCAATGAGAGCCACAATGATAAGAAATGCTGTCATATCAAATATAATATATATATTCTCAAGAAGTCTGAGCCACATTACCACTTCCTCCTCGCACACCAACCAGAAATATAAAGATAATCATATCACAACATCACACACATTGGACCTACCATATGTACATTCAATCTTTTTTTTTTTTATTTTATTTGATAATAAAGTTTTGATAAAATTAATAAAGTGCAATATAAAGTATTGTACAGTAATCATTAGTGATGCATTGTAGAATAATCTCTGGGGAATTTTTGGAAATTAAAAAAAGTAGGAGGGAGAGGGAGAGGGAGGGAGGAAGAGGATAACTGATAGTGAGAGGGAGTGGGAGAGGAAGAGGGAGGGAGGAAGAGGGTAATTGACAGTGAGCGGGAGTGGGAGAGGGAGAAGGAGAGAGGGAGATGAGAGAGAGGGGAGAGAGAGAGGGGGAAGAGAGAGAGCAGGGGGGAAAGAGAGAGGGGTGAAGAGAGAGAGGGGAGAGAGAGAAGACAGGGTGAGGAAGAGCGCCACAGAGGCTTTGGAGGAGTAGTAGTAGCATGACGCAACGAGAGAAAGAGAGAGAAGACAGCATCTACCGATGAAACCGCAGGTTTAAAGGCAGCAGTAGGCATGGATTCATTTTCGAGCCACACGGATGCTGGACGACCAGAGCTAGTGCCTACATGACGAGAGAGATAATTCGGAGAGAGCAGAGAGAGACGAAGAGAGAGTAGGAACGGAAGAGAGAGAGAGAGAGGCGAAGAGAGGAGGCGAGTAGAGTAAGAAGGAGAGAGATGCGGAGAGTAAAAGATGAGCTGACCGCATTGCCAGAATGCACACAACGAGGCCAGACAGAGGAGAAGAAGAGCACGACGAGGAGACGAGAGTAGAAGAGAGAAATGACGGAATGAAGAGAGAGGAAGAAAGAAAATAAGGATGGAGAGAGAAGAAGTCAGAGAACAAACACGGAGAGAGAGGACACGACGAAAAAAGCCACAACAGAGACGACAGAAAAGAGAGAGGGGGAACAGAAAAACGAAGACGACAGAGGGGGGAAGAAGAGGCAGAAGAGAGAGGGGAAGAGAGAGAGAGAGGGAGAATGGGGAGAGGAGGAAGGAGGAGAGGAGGAAGAGGGAGCGGAAGAGAGAGAGAGAGAAGAGAAGAGAGAGCAGAAGACGAATGAGAGAAAGAAGAGAGAGGAGCGAGACGACGACGAACGAGACGCGAGGAACAGAACCACGAGAGAGACGACGAGTAAGAGAGCAAAGAAGAGACAGAGAAGGGGAAGAGGTCAGAGGAAGAGAAGAAGAGAAGGCGAGGGTCAGAAGCAGTTCACGCCAAGAAGAAGGGGAGAGATCAATGAAAAAGTTTTTAGGAGAGAACGAAGAGACGAAGAGGGGAGAGAGAAGAGAACGAAAAGTTTAAGAAGAGAGAGAAGACCGTAAAGAAGAAGAGCATGAGAGAGAGAGAGAGAGAGAGAGAGTAGAGAGAGGAGAGAGAGAGAGAGAGAGGAGAGGAGAGAGAGAAGAGAGGGAAGGCAGAAGGGAAGCGGGGGGAAAGTATGTGGAGATATATAGTATGAGAGAGAGCGTGAAGTGTATATATGCCTGAGAAGGAAGACAAGAAGAGATAGAAAACAAATGGCCGAGGGAAAAATTAGCCGGGATAGTAAGAAGCAGACCATAAAAAAAATTTAAGATATAAGGACACAATGTACTCCACTGATTAAGAGAAAAATAATAGGGGATGGAGCAACTGGAAGATATCTAAGTTAATCAGCTGAGCCAGAGGACAGCTAAAGAACGGAAATAAAAAAACAAACAGCCAAAAAGAGAGAGCAGGAAATGGATATAAGAAAGCGCACAGACGAAAAACGTACAACGAGAATGAAGGGGAATTGATCCTTAAATGATCGCAAAAAGGGAGCATCCGTAATGACTTCGTGTATTCCATCGCGGGCTCCTCGGATCAGGCTCATCGGCTTCAGTCAGTCTCTTCATTTCGTAATGATGGGGTGACATGTAACGAGAGGATGCACCTCAGTGAGGTCTCGAAGGTGCGAGAGAGAGATCATCGTCGAAGATGCAGGGGTTTTAAGAGGAGAGAGAGAAGAACAGAGAAAGGGGGAAGAGAGAAGCGCATAGATTAGAAGAGGGTAAGATTGCCTCAGGGGGAGAGAGAGTCGGAAGAGAGGCGAGAAACCGCAAGAGGGAGAAGCGGAGTTGGGAAGAGCGAGTATGGAGTTTCAGGGGCCCTCAGTCTACTCCCTCTGTCTCCTCACCTGGGGAGAGAGACCACAGAAGAGATTGAAAGTCATGTATATGTCTTTTGTCAGTGATGTGAACTCACAAAACACTTTATAACGGTCATCGCTTAAAATAATCATATGACATTATCATACATAAGTTTTTCACTCAAAGAACAAATTTATTAATTATTCATTACATCCATCCCATCACCTCATCCTCATCACTCCCATCCCACTATCACAACTGTCATCATCCATTGCCATCATCAACGTGGTCATCCTTTCACTTACTCATCCATACATCATTATTATTATTATTTTCAGTCTCCATCTTATCATCAGTCTATTATTCATTATATATTATTATTATATATATGTATAATATATTATATTATTATCATCACTCATTATTCATTATTATCGTATCATCATTCTATTATCTATTACTATTATTGATCATCATCATTATTAAATCTGTATTTACTCATTAATCATTATTTATGATTAATCATTATTGTCACTAATATCATGATTAACATCATCATAATTAACCATTATTGTTAATATCATTAACACATCATAATTATCATTATTGTCACTCAATTCATGATTAACATCATCATATTAATTATTCATATTATCATTATTATTTACTATGATGATCATAATCATTATTATCATCATCATAATTATTATCATTATTATCCTTGCCATTATTAATACTATGATGATCATAATAATTTATATAATTCATCTTCCTATGTTCCATGAACATTGAGATTTAATTGAAAGCATGTCACCCTGATGATTTAGCCATTCCTGTTCACTTCTAAATTCATCATTCAGTGTTGCTAGTATGAGAAACACCGTCAGCTCTTGTGCCATAAATAAATGCCAATAAATGTCCTATCTATCATTTACTGAAATGACATTTCTAATGGTAATATGTGTTTCATATGGTGTTTTGGGAAATTCAAACCTGTAAATGATTACTGTACAATATTGCAAAGCATACAATCACTTTGCGAACATCTAGAAGTAAAATCACACAGGAAAACAAAGACAAATCTTGTAGTATCAGATAAACTCATGTGACTATCACTTCCACTGATTTCAGTCCATGAAACCCTAAGCATAAAAAGATCACTCACATACTTACCATATCAAATATAAAGATGTCTATCTCTTATTCTTTTTCTTCATTCTTTACTCCTACCTCTCTCTCTCTCTCTGTTTCTGTCTCTATCTCTGTCTTTCTCTTTCTGTCTCTGTCTGTCTGTCTCTCTTTCTCTCTCCCTCCCTCTCTTTCCTGCTCTCTCTTCCTCAATTTCAATCTCTCTCTCTCTCTCTCAATCTCCCTCTATCTCTCTCTCAAGCTCCCTCTCTCTCTCTCAATCTCCTCCCTCTTTCTCGCTCTTCCTCTAGCTCTCCCCTGCTCTCCCTCTCTCCCTATCCACAACTCTCTTTCCCTCTCTCTCTATCCCCTACTCTCTTTCTCTCCCTATCCCCTGCTGAATTTCTCTCCCTATCCCCTGCTGACTTTCTCTCCCTATCTTACTAGCCCCCCCCTCTCTCTCCCTTTCCTCATTTTCCCTCTCCTCTTACCCTCTCCCCAGCTCTCTCTATCTCTTTCTCCCTAGCTCTCTCTCCCTGTCTCTCCGTTGTTTTCCCTCTCTCTATCCTGCTCTCTCTCCCACTCACTTACTCCCTCTTTCTCACTGTCTCTCACTCTCCCTTGCTCCCTCTCCCTTGCTCTCTCTGCCTTGCTTTATCTCCCGTTTACTCTTGTTCTCATACTCGCAATTATATAAGTAATCAAATTCCATATGTATTTAAGCAGGTTATGGAAATGAATCATAAAGCTAGGACAAACTATAGCAACATATTTTATTAGGAAAAAGGCATTCTCAGTATTTTATTATTAGTCTAGATTTATATCATACTTCTTAGACAACACAACAAAAACAGAAGTCATACACAGCAAATCAAGTCTCACAAACTTCAAAGCTGCTTGCAAGCTGATGTATGAAGGAGACAATAGGACTCCACTTCTTACAAAAATGACGGCAATAATGCTGGCTAATTTTGGTGAGCAAGTCCTACCAAGACAGCTTGCTTACATCAGATAAGGAGGCCTCTTTAATCCTGACAGATTATTTTTTTGTGATACTTTCTTTACTTTCATGTTATTCTATCATGTATTTACTATGAAAATCTTAAACGTGTGAAGAAATGTAATATGTTTTCTAGATTGCAATCTACAAAAGCACATCTTGGTAGGGTAATTTTTTGTCAAAATTTGCCACATGCTGTCTATTTGGAATGCCATAAATCCAAAATCAACAGCTTGCCCCTAATGAAAAAAGTTAGCAGGACGGACACTATTCCTGTTCAAAACTGTTCTTATAACAAGAGAAATTACATCCAAGATCACACCATTCTAAAAAAACACAAAGCAATCAGCCAGCCAGGGTAGAAGAAAACAAAATCACAGTCTGTCTGTTGGCTTCAGCGTCAAGAGGCCACGAATTCTCCGCCAGGCCAAAACAGCCAGACAAGTTAGCCAAAAGACACTCCAACTACAACATTCTAATTCCCACTCACCACATGGGCCTTCGCAGCGTGCCTCAGTTTGAAGTTGTACTTCCAGGCACAAACAAAAAAATATTTACAGCATATGTACACTCACTTCGGTTTGGAATTATCAAAACTTACGAATAAATGAGCCTGATTGTAATTCTAATGCTAAAGTATCTAAATGAAGACTAAATTAAGCATTTAAATTTTAAATCAAATGTGAATTGCAGTGCAGATTCCAGAGGAAGTGAATAAACCTTCTCAAATAAATCAGGAAATATAAATTCTAAATAAATTCTTTGGAATTTAAGAAGCAGAAATAAGCATAACTCAGAAAGACATTGTTTTCAATCAACATGAGAACATCCTTAAAAGATTATCAATTTCATTATCTGTGCTTTCCATGACTTTAAACTAATGAAAAGTAAATTATCCTACAATAATCACTGAAAGTGCATATATAAGGATGGTTGAAAATGTGCAAGTCTAAAATCTTCAGAAACCATTGTCTTTCATGTAGCTTGCTGCTCTGATGTTAATTTGGAGCCGAGATAAGGTGAATTGAAGCTGTTGGTTTAATGTGTAAATCAATGCATGCTCTAAACCAATAAAAAATGAATTAATAATCAAAGCATAACTGCTTTCTCTCTCTTTCACACACCCAAACATACACATACACATACACAAACACACACACACACACACACACACACACACACACACACACACACACACACACACACACACACACACACACACACACACACACACACACACACACACACACACACATACTTGCACACATCTCTCTCTCTCTCTTCTCTCTCTCTCTCTCTCTCTCTCTCTCTCTCTCTCTCTCTCTCTCTCTCTCTCTCTCTCTCTCTCTCTCTCTCTCTCACACACACACACACACACACACACACACACACACACACACACACACACACACACACACACACACACACACACACACACACACACACACACACACACACACACACACACATGCACACGCACACACACACATATATACACACATATACACACAATATAACACATAAAACTCTATAATACCCAAGGTAACACAACACAACATACACACTAACACAACACAACGTACAAACACATAACAAATATGCACACTACACACACACATCTACATCTTTCATTTATAAATCATCATATAATTGAGAGTAAGTGACAATGGAAGACATTCAAAATCTAGCAATACTTACAGTGTAAAATCATAACCCAAACACTAAATACCAAACTCAAAATCACAAAAAAAAGCAATAATATACAAAAGTTTAATAACCACTATAAAAAAGAAAACAAAAAAAAATCAAACTTCCTCTATTCATATCTTTTAAAGTAAAGTAATAACTAATAAAACAACACTAACCTGCTCTCCTTCTATAAACTCAAAGCTATTAATGATCTGGAAGTCGCCAAACATCCGTGAACAAACTCCATGTCGGGCGTTCGGGTGGACATGCTTTTTCGCAACGATGTACATCCGCCTAAGAGCCTCTGGGATCAGGACTTCTACATCAAATACCAGCTGTTGAGGATATGATTTTCTTTTGATTTTTTCTAATAAAGTTATGAATTTTTTAGACAGATACTAATTGTTATCATAATCTACCAAAGGTAAAGTAGGGTTGATATCCTAATATGTAGAAAATTCATGCTGAACAAGGTGAAATCATACCAACAATGGGAAGAGAGGGCCAGTACGATTATAACGAGGGCTTTCCAAGATATTGCACAACAGGGAGCATTCACCTTAATATTATCATTAGTATTATTATCATCACTATCATTCTTATTATCATCATCATCATCATTATCATTTTTAATGTTATTATTATCATTACCATTATTATTATTATTTTCACTACTAATATTACTATTGATATCAGTCTTATTATCATTATTACCATCAATGTTATCATTATCATCTTTATTATCATCATTATTATCATCAATCTAATCCTTGCTTTCACTATCACTGTCAGTCTTCAGGTATCATAGCTATTATCATTAATTAAATTATCTTCATTTTTTTTCCATAATCAAAGATTATGGAATACAACTCTGAATTCCTGATTTCTCAGTGATCCCTTAAATTCTGATAAAAATAAATTATCACATTTTCCTTCACAAAACTGAGTCATTAATAAAAAGGTCAATATTAAATGAAAAATTTAAATGACTATCTAATTCACAATCACTTATAGATATCTATATTCACTTAGTTAAGAGTTACAGCTTTTTCCTTTTAGTAAAAGTGATAGAATTTCATAATAGCAAAAATCAGAATTCTTAAAACTTAAGTACATATAAAAACCCATCTCA